CCTCCGAAAAATCTGTACTATTATACGAGTTGGCAAATGCATCTATAAGAGAATTTTTTTAAATGAGAAGAAATGAAAAATACTAGAAAATGATATATGTATGTACGTTTTACTTTTTGTTGAATTGTTAAAATATATTAATCAGATCGCTGAGCTTGAAGGTCCAGTAATAAACTTCACTTACTAATGCCGGAACCATGTATGGTAGAATACACTTACGCAGTATTACGCCTTCGACGATTGAAAGTTTTCACCTTGGGATTTTTAATTTTTTTCATATAGAATTCCTCAATTAGGAGTGATCTTTATAGATTTTTTTTCTGCATAGAAAACGTTTCTATCACTCAGTATTTGGTATAGATTGAACGTTTTCAATGTTTCATTGTATGCATTCAAAATACTCACTAAAGAACACTTATTATGGGACCTGTAACTAAAGAGCATGCACCTATTATGCATGGGACAAATGTTAGAGAAACCAAAATAATAGTCATCATCATCAACATCACTGCGTTGGAGTGATGAAACATAGTGGCAATGGGAGAAACATAGTTTTTGGCATGATTGTCTTTCGGTATTTCTCTACTAGTATCTACGAATCTACTGAACTTGACCTGTAAATGTAGAAGGTGTAGATAAAGAACAATTATCAACCTCATTAATTCAGCAAAGAATATGAATCCTGAACAGAGCAAAAATACGGATCCCTGGAAACATCAGAGGTGGAACCAGATGCCTAGGAGGAGTAAGCATCCCCTATCGACAAGTCACATCATCCATGAGCCCTCTGCATTCATCAGGTACACGGAGTAATAGCCAAACAACTAGTAGAAAAACTTGTCAGTAGAAATAAGACCAAATGGTTTTACTGAATTTGCAAACAATTTTATAACGACCATACAGTTTGTGCAATGCTGACTTACAAAGATATTGTGAAAACCCTGTAACAACAACTTATTTTTCAGTAGCCTATATTAATTTAAAAATTGATGATAATTGGAATATGCCTTGCGTATCGTTTCCGTTGGGAGACATAAATACCATACATGTATATACGTATAGATGTAAGATAGTGGGATACTACTAGATAAATAGGGAAGGTTGACGATGGAAAAGCTGAATTCATCCCGTTTGCCCTATAGTTTAGTTTTTAATTGGCCAATCAGTAAAACCAAGTATAGAACAGATGTGACAAAGTTTGTGGCGTCTTTTACACCAAGTTCTCTGGGATATCGGTATATCAGGTTAAATATGAATGAAAATTACTACTTTTATTTGATAAAGCAGCGTTGATATATCACAATGTTGATTTGAAACCCACAGCACAGCAAGAGTTTTGTTTTTCGCATATAGAATTTTTTAAAAAGAAATTCTGCTTCATAAGAATAAAATAGCCAGCTAATAGAGATAGATGTGGCAGACTCTGCATTGTCTTCTATTTTTCAGTTCAGTGGGATATACTGAGTCGACATATTGTAAATTGATAAAACGTTGTCTATATATCCACAGCAAGTGTTTTCTTTTTATCATGTAGAAGTTTTTAAATAAATTCTGATTCATGAGAAAATAAAAAACAGTTCGGCTAATTAAGGAGCACAGTTAACGCTCATCGAAATTCCAATAGATTTTTGGAAGACCTGATCTCCAAAGACTATACATACATGTAGATGTTGTCAATGAGGAACTCCAACATTCTTTTTATATCAGCCTCGGAATACTTGCGAGTAGAATCAGATTGAGTTTATACAAAGTAATTTTGTTGATGACCAATCACAAGAAATGAAAATTTCGGAGTTTCATTATTACTTAAAAAGAGCAGTTGTTTATGATATTAAAAAAATCCTAGTTTTAATTTATCGTGAAGAGTGGATGTATAAAGTGTTGAAAAGTCATAAGTTTTAATGTTCCTGACTTTTGAAAAATGTTGCTATTTCAAAATTTCTTAAAGTTCTTTACATGGAGTTTTTGAGAATCCACATTTAATTAACACCACTTCTAGAATATGCTGTAGCACAGCACCTCTAGATCTGAAATTTCTCCTTTGCAGCAGTTAATATTTTTGTGAGAAAAGATATGGGCTTGGTAGAGCATTTGCTGGACCCGGCAATGTGTCTTAGTTTGTAAGATTTTTTATGAAAGTTTAGATTGAACTCACCTTCGTTGACTGAATTTTAAAGTGTTAAAAACCTAAATGTGATTTTGAAGAATTTCATCGTTAAAAAAGTGAACAGTGAGTGTAAGTAGGATTTCCATATGTAAAATAAAAATCAAGTTCTTCTAAAATTCAGTTTTTAAGATAATGAACCTTTCAAATAAAGATGATATTGTTACAAGCCTTGTCTGCTGGAACCTTAACATATTGTTAATGTAGGATTTCTAATTCTTTTATCACTTCCGATTTAGTAAAAGCAGAAGGATAGACGGTTCGCATATTGCCTTTTAGCTTCTTTAATATATCTCTAAAACACTTCATCCATTCTGACAGTGTGTTCAGGTCTTCCTCTTCATATTTTGCCCATTGTCTGATATAATCCTCGACAGAATTCATAATAGAAATGAAGTTCTGTCGCCAATTTAAAGATCGGGGCTCCCTGTATTTAGAACTTTTTAAAAATGATTGCTTCAAGGTCGTAATTCAACTTTATTTACATCACCAGTAATGACGTGACCATCGGGATTATAGTTGAGAGAAGAGAAAAAGCAAGAACACTTACGGGATTTTGTTTTAAATGTTTAATATCTAGGACAGTAAGGTTTGTTTATAAATGCAAAATTTGGAAATATCTGTACGAAATGAAGGTTGAAGCCTTCAACTTGAAATAAGGTGGAATGCAAGACTAACTTTTTTTTACGATTAAGAATGTTACTAATTGTAACATAATGAGCGTACAAATTATAAATTTAATTAATTTATTAATTTGTACAGTGCATTTATTTATGTTTAAATATTGTGTTATGAATTATAATTGATACTATCAGTGTGTAGAGCGACGGACAATAACATCTTAATTATGAACTTGTTTACAAACTTTGGGAGATTGGATACAATAAGAGAGCGTCTTCATTTGACGGACAATTAGTTTTTACAATATGTTGTTCTCGAACATTTACACTTTCCAATCAGACTTTGTGCAAAGCTGCAACTGTCCAATTAACTGAAGAATGTGCAAGATATACACAATGTTAATGTAAACAATGGACATTGCCCTATCCTATAAGGAGATGAGACACAGAGCTTCAGTGAAGGGCGGACTATATCAATACTAATGAAGTGACACTGTAACTTACTGATTGTTATTACCAAATACGTGATCCCTATGATGCAGCTTTTCATACAAAAGATTTGCGCGCTGAGTATCAATAGCTTTTTACCATCTCAGCTCCTAGACTGAATATGTGAGCTTTTGACATCTTAGCTTTGAGACGAACTATGAGAGCTTTTACAATCTTAGCTCTGAGATCTTTGTAATGCATTGACTATGTGAGCTTTCACCATCTTGGCTCCGAGACCTATATATAGCCATTGAACTTTTTATGTACTATAATTGTTTTTGTCTTTGCTGTGACTTTATAATAAAAGTGTAAACTTACAAAAGTCTGCTTAATCCAAACACATTGAGTTATTGTGTTATATAATGTTCAGAGCATGTATTCCTTTGATGGCAAATTTAAGTTTAAGGAACCGACGGGTTGAATCGGAGTTATTATCTTCCAACACACTTGGCGGCTTAAAGAGCCTTTGCTGTGCAACATCCATAATCACAAAACCTAACTTGTATTCTGCAGTTGAAGAATCCAAGTATTTGCGGTTTCAAGGGAACTGAGTAAAGTTTAGTGCGAATGTGATGAAGACCTATAATTGTTTCTAAGGCAAAAGTAAATAAAATGAGACATCATAGATATTTGGTCTCTATTGTATATGGTCGAGTCCATGACTACACTTACTTCAAGGTGTATTATCAAAAAGTCCCATCGCATTCACACTGGCATATTGTGGGCTTGAAAGTTCACTTTATTATTTATGTGGTCGTTGCAACCATACGGAAATTAATAAATTGTTAAATTTAAACAAAAACAAACAAACAAACAAACAAACAAAAAATCTTATTGCATCGCCGGAACACTACAAGTGATTTGAGGTACATGGCTATCTTTGCCCCCCAAAAAATCTCCAACATATTATTTTAAATATACTCACCATAAATTATAAAAATAATAACATAAATATATAATTATGGAACCACATCCTATTATATCAGAACTGCATGTACATGTAATAACAGACACATAGTATATAATATCATACGGCACATCATCTATAATATGTAAAAACACATCATATAATTATGAAATCACATCATATAATGAAACCACATCATATAATTATGAAAGCAGAGCTATAATTTTGAAAGCACAGTACATATAATTATGAAAACTTTAGATTTCAAAGAATTCTTTGCGATTTCAGAGAATTCTTTGCAGTTTCTTCACATAATTTCAATATAGTTTTATCTGTAATTATTGCGGTGATATCTAATGTCAAACGCGAAATAAAAATTCTAAGACAGAAATCAAAGTTTTGAGGTTAGAATTTTTTGTCTGGACGATTTCATAAATTATTCTTAATGATTAGAGTCTCATTTTGTGAAGCATTTTACGACAAGAAAATTTGAACAACTCTGCATGGTTCATTAAAAAATCATGGAAATTAGGCTAAAATTGATCTCATAACTTTAATAAAAATTCGTTTTTTCAATAAAATGAATAGTGAAACATGCAATTATGACTCACTTATGATCATATATTGTAAGTCTCTAACTGAAGTAAATTTTGTCTTTGTAAATTACAGTATTAGTTCGGCCTAACCATGCTATCATCATCGCAAACCACGGATTTTGTATCTGGAAATAAAAAATCTTGTTTTGATTAAAATTTATGTCGGGTTCGGCATTTAGGAGAGTTGCTCGATGTCAACAAAAACCAAACAGAACGGGCATCAATCATGCCGAAGAGGAGGCAACCTGCAAACCTCAGACAAACCTGTACACTATATATTGCCTCAAATTTTAAAGGAATATGGTGGAAAGATTACCTGGACAACTTTGGGGATACACAAGTTTTACACGTGCTTGGGCCATTTGATACACTTCGTACGTTTTAACTGCTTAAAATTTAAGCAATGATAATCTTACAGTCTTGACAGGTCCAGTCCAAAGACTATTTCTACCTACGTAGCTACTTAAAGCTACCTAGTATTTAAATCTACTCCAGGTAGCTATTTTTACCTACTTTTTGCTTTACTTGCACTTTGTGGCCAAACGAAGGAACATCATGTTAATACAGTCACACTGATGATGAATACGACAAAAATTTTGGCAAAAAATGAATACTTTCTAACTTATCAATTTTGCATTAAAAAAACTACACCCAGCTTTATTTTCTGAAAGCTAGGATCAAAACTAAGTCTAAAATGTCTAAAATCTATATCAATTTTAAAACTTATTCTCTGTAGCATTTTTAGACAAAGTGTTTTTGGGGTGATTTTTAATGCATTTTCTCTCCATTCCCCAACCTCAAAAAGTTTTCGAATTAACACCCTTATTTTTGTGCAAATTCACAAGATGATAAACGACAAGTTTGACCTGTTTCAAAGATGCGCCTTTATTATCATTTTATTCTCAAAGACAGGTAAAAGTAGCTACTTCAAGTAGGTTTAAATACTTATGTAGCTGTTAATAGTCTTTTGACTGGACCTGCTTGATTCTGCTAGAATTTTGCCAAGCCAAACTAAGCCGAGTAAACCTACATATGCGCTAAAAATCAGGTGACCCAGCTAATATACAGGATTAAAAATACTGTATTTCTATCATAAAACATTATACAACTGTTACAAAAGAAAAATACTACACTAATGACTTAAACAGTCTTGTTCATTTCACCAGAAAGCTTCACATTGTATATCTCCAAGCACAGGCACTTGTTTCATATATGGGGTCAACCCCTTCTTTTTTTCATGTCATTCAGTATCATATTTCGATACATTTTAAGACTCTAGACGAGATACAGGAACTTCCTGTTAGGGTTGTAGTGTACAATAAAACCAAAGACCTCAGAATGGAAAACTCAAAAGTCTCTGGTTTTATCCTACATTTATTATCCCAACCAGAAGTTCTTGTATCTTGCCTAGAGTCTTAAAATGTATTGAGGTAATTTTCGAGGAATAAATGAGTGGTTTACAATAAAGAGGCTCTACAAGGGACGTCTGAAAGGATTTATTTGACAAGAAAAAAGTTTTTCAAAGTGAGCGATGTCATGTTAAAGTAGGTTGATGATTGATATATTAATAAAATACAAGCTTGAAGCAGGGATGTCTGAAATTGAGTAAGGTACCTTGTGGAAAGAAGAAGAAGTGGTGACCTCATATACGAAACAAGTGCCTGTGTTTTCAAGAGTGCCATATTGAAGCAGCATGAGCCTATCGAATTTTTTCCTGCCCAGTCGGGTCACTCAGCTTGATGCAATACCAGCCCACAATCAAGTAAGTCGCTAGTCATCCCAGAATTTACCCGGGCGTCTTGGAGGTTCAGAATCAAGTATGCTTTTAATCTTGACCGAGGTTTGATCCAGGTGGATATTTGAACTGACGCTTGAAAGCATCAGTCCACGTCCAAATATCCAGCTAAGCTGATGGTAAGCTTATGGTAATCTTGGCTGAGATTTGATGTAAGTCCAAATATCCATCCAAATTGAAGATTAGGGCACTGGAAGTTCAAGTGCCCATTGGGTAATATGTCTTTGGCTCTCTGATTATAGAATGCTGGATATTGACAGTAAAACATATTACGTATCATTTTTGCAATGAAAATGAATATAAGTTTACCATAGAAAATATCTAGTTTTTGTTCGTTTGTTTTTTGTTTAATGTCCTTTTCAAGAATTTTTCACTCATATTGAGACACCACCAGTTGCCGGTGTTGAGCTGCAAATTCAGACCTATACTAGGCACTTAGGGCCATTGAACAGTGAGGGATCTTTATCGTGCCAGCACCTACTGTGACATGGGACCTCGGTTTACACGGCCCCATCTAAAGGACCCATCTCCATGTCCTGCAGTGGGATTCGAACCCACCACTTAAGGATTAACTCCTTACTCCGCAACTCCAGAGGATGCTCTAACCACTGCGCCACATGGGCAATGAAAATATCTAATAAATGAAGGTATTATTTAAATAAAATAAATAAAATAATATTGCTTGTTCTTCCTTTAATTTAGCAAGTGGGGTAATTGAAGATATTATCAATACATTGGAAGAGAAGGGCATTCTTATTGGAAAATACTTCCAGATTCTGCTCACTGACAGACTTCGACACTTACATCTCAGGGGAAGCACGATTACAAACCAGTTGGTTAAAATCCTTGCACTGAAATCACAGGTATGTCTATCAAAAGACATTTCAATAATATTCATAAAGTTTTAAAAATTGGTAGTTTTATGTATGCAAGACTAGTAAATTTTATTTTAAGAGGGCTGGGTGGTTGTGGCCATTTTCAGACTATATTGATCTCCTTTAGAAGAAGAGCTCCATATAAAGATATACGAAAATGATCAAATTTTAAAACTAAAATGTATGAAATTTTTGTTTGCCAAATGATAGTTGACAGCTTAAAATATCATATCTAAAACATTAAGTTATATCTGATGGTTAATTTGTTGACCCCCCAGCCTCCTTAATCAAGTTATCCTTATATGATGAAACATGAGTTCTGTTATTTTGCTATTGAAACCTTTCCTCACACTATAAACATAACTTTGAAGCATTGAAATAAAAAATAGAAGGAGATTTGGCTTTGAATCAAATATCTCCATATTTGTTTTGATTTTAGCACTATGCCTGGTAGGTATTTTTATTCAGTTACGTTATCACATCATCTGTAAATCTTTTTGTTCTTGGGTGTTGGGTACATGCTTGATGTTAGCTTGAGGTCAAAAGATATGTACATGAAAATGGACTTTTTGTGCGTTATCTTGTTAGATTTTAATTGCACAAAAAAGTCCAACAATTTGTTGTATAGCCACTTGTTTTACCTTAACCTCAAAAGCATCTACTGAAAATGAATTCAGCATACAGATGTTCCCTTTAGTTAATGTATTTAGGATGAAACTAAGAAATTCTCATTGTAGAAATTGGAGAGCTTACATTTGAAGTATGCCAACAAAATTTCCAATAATCTGTTGATAAATGTGGTGGAAAATTTACCAGCTGTAAAAGAACTGGACCTTACCTGTACAAAGTGTAACGATGCCATGATGAAAATAATAAGTATGATCTATGTGATAATTCTGTATACTAATAGTTTATGGTTCTAAGATTTAACAAACATAATTCTAACCCCTTGATTCTGCTGATTATGTAACAATATTTTTGCAGATGAAACTTTAAAGGGAAGTGTGTACAAATGTATTCATTTGAATGTAAACTCTTGAAAATTTTCTTTGAACAAAAAAATCCTGCTTTTTATTTTAGACTTTAATAAATTTCTTGTGATACAACATGTCCATTATTTGTCTGACAGTCTGTTTAACTGGTAAACAGTTTTTCTAAAGGCCACTCCTTAAGATTTGGTCTGATTTGAGTTAGAATAAGCTAACTGTGTCTCTGGAGAGGCACTCGCAACAGTAAGAATACACACACAAAGTTACAATGCAGCAAAAAAGAGCAGATCTTCAACAACAGGATTTTGAAGAATATAATTGAAGTTTGAACATAGCCACCAAATTTATCATACGTGTAACCAACCTTTTTGAGCTTGTATATGCCTTTTTGACATTTTTGTTTAAATACAAATAATTTAATTCTGGTTGTTATGCGCCGTTTGATTGGATAATTTTTTTTTATATTGTTTAAACCATCTGTATTTCCTAAATCACAATCGAGTCAAAAATGTGTCAATCAGCCTGACTTTACATTTTTATGAATGAGGATTAATTTCATATGAATTACTACAGAAATTCAATTACTAGAATGGCCTGTTGATTTTTTTTTTTTTTTTTTTGGTCTCCTGTTGAAATTCTACTAAGTTAATAGCAGAATTTAAACAACAACATTTTTAAAGGGAGATGGTATTACTATTCTTGCATGACAAACAGAAAAACCCTGTTTTGCAGTATACCCTTTTTTAGAGTTTGCCTAAACTATTATTAAGTATTTTGAACACAGGAATGCTTGTATCCTGTGGTTTGATCTTTAGAATCAGTAGTCGTAAGCTTCTTCCTCCAATTTAGCATGTGAGTCACATCAAAATTAATTTTACATTTACAAATGGTGCACATGCTCACAAAAGTTTGAATTTGAATTACAATTTGACCCAAAATCTTCTTAGAATATCCTCAAAGCAAGTCAATCAGAATTTTCAAGCAGTACTTTGTAATTTTATATGATGTCTAAAACTTCTTTCTTAGACTACTGTAAATCATGTTTTATTCATGAGAATGTTATCTTCACGTGATTACGCGAGATCATCTCTCGAAAGTTTAATTCTCGCATTTATTTGTATAAATAAAGATTATGTAGCATAAAATTAAATTCGTGAAAATCATGTTCCGCTCATAAAAACCAAATGACAATCTCGCAAAAATAAGGTCTTGCAAATATTTGTTGATCTACAGTATTAGTGTCTCTTTAGCAAGTCGAGTCAAATGGTTCACAGTATTGTTACAGTCGTATAAACAAGCACACAAATATGGACACGCAACCATCTTTGCAGCTTTTAATTTTTTACCCAGCTTTTATATTTTTTTTTGTTCAGGTTTAAATTGTCCCCAGTTGTGCAGACTTTCGATTAGTGGTTGCCCAGATGTTACAGATAAAGGTATACACTTCCTGTGTTCTGGCAAAACACCAAAGTTACAGTATGTGTCCCTTGTAGATTCAGACACATCTGATCAGTCTGTTTATCATTTACTGCGAGCCTATCCTGGATTGATAGAGGTGGATTTGGACATCAATATTAATGGGGTAGCCCAAGTCATTGAGGAAGATATTCTAAATGGGAGGACAGAGAGCAAGTATGGAATCCAAAAACTCAATTGGCAGACATCAGTACCCTTTACCACTAACACATCTTTAATTGTTGGCCACTGTCCTTATGTCTATGATGTTACATGTGATGGAGTCATTGCAGCTGATATTTTGAAGAATATAGCATCATTTAAAAGCATGAAAAAATTAAACCTTGTTTATGGAATTGAAAGAATGGGACATGATTTAAAGGAGTTTGTTCAGTTTTTGCAGATCGTAGGGAATCAACTGACTGATTTGAGTATAAGTAACACGGGCTTTATGCCTTTGAGTGAAATTGGGATGTTCTGTTTAAACTTGAAACACTTGTCAATATTTTGTGATGAAGACTTCACCCAACAAGATGCCTCTGCAGTCACAGAACATTCTCTCCATTCTGGGAGTTTTAAAAAATTAGAAACTGTTCATATATTTGATAACTTAATATTAGCTTCAGAACAACATGTTACTTTTCTGCTGTATCAAGCTGAAAACCTACAGAAATTATACTTTGAAAATTGTAAAGGAATTACATCATCAGGATTACAAGCGGCATATCAGCAGCATGGCTTCAAACACTTGAAGTTTCTGGGACTGACTAATTGCCCTGTTGTTGATGATGTCAGTGTGTTTAAGTTGCTTTTAGAAACTGAGAATGAATTAACCCATTTAAGTCTTATGCGATGTTTTAACATCACACAGGCACACAATGATGAGCTTACAGCATGTCTAAAGAAAGGGAGAAATTGGGACATAGAATATGATTGGGATTAAAGTTGCCTATTGTTACCTGTATTTTTACAGTACACAAGTACATGTATTCTAAATTGTATTTTTTTTATTCAGTATAGTTGATTTTCAGTGTCATGTACTATTGTACTTGTACTGAGTTTTTGCAAATGATGCATATTTTTAACATTATATTTATCCACAGATTACAGATTTACATTCTGTCTTTATGATACAGTATATACCAGTACATTGTAGTATTAGTTTATTGTACTCTGTAACCGAGATTAAAAAATGTCATTGTACATATAGAGTTGGTTTTATTATTTGTTTGTTATGTGGATGTAGTTATCTATAGACAGCTTAATCGTTTCAACTTTTCAAAAGAAATTATTTGCTATGGATCTTTCATGAATTTTTACTATACTGGCAGATCCAGAAGTTCATGTGTGTGTGTGTTGTTGTTATTTGGGGGGGGGGGGGGGGGTGAGGCCCAAAAGGAGAGGGTATGGGAAAGGGGTATCCCCCTCCAATTAGGGGGTTCAGGGGACCTCCCCTGAGAATTTTTTGTAAAAATGGCTCAATTGTGAATTTTCCAGCATATTAGATTGAACCTATTAGTTTGTCAGGGCTTCTATTGGACTGCATAAAAGTTTTACCAAAATTCATTATACAAAGTTGTAATCATTCACTACAAAAACTACCACCCTCTACCGTAACCTATATATTGTGTGCATTCAAGTAGAAAGGAATTTCTTGTTATGTGTATATTTATCTAAAACAATGGGTTTGGATATAGAGTCAATCTCATTTATGCAATACAATATGTATGTCTGTACAAAAAAAAAAAATCTTAGAGCGGGGAAGAGAGGGGAGGGGGTCCCAAACCCCCCTGGATCCGCCACTGGAGTATTAAGTGCAAATTTTCCCCAAATTCCTTGTCTGGTTTCTGACTAGATGAAATATTCAAAGCATATTTGCTCATATGTTTTATATAATTAGATGCAAGAGATTTAAAAGATCATATCTTTTTTTCCTCATCACAATTGTACAACTTTAAATAGAAATGGTAAACTGAATTTGAAATCTAGCAGGGACTATATTTTTGGCGGAATGGCGGCATATGAAAATATCTTTTTTTTCTGCCTCTCAAAATTATTATAGAACAAAGAATTTAGTTATAATTTTTACACAATCAAAGACTTGAAGAAATTTTTTAATGTAATATAATTAATAATAAAATAATAAGGAACTAAAGTTTTAAAATATAGCTAATAAATATGATTTTTCAAACAAACCACAATTATGTTAGCTTTTAAAAGCTTCCAATCTAAGTACAGATTTGAGCCAAAAATCCGTAAAAAGTGTTTTTCTCTCTTGGTTAACGATCAAAACTTTTTGTTTTTATATCATTTTGTATCTTTATGTGACAACTTTACCATATGTGAAAATAAGAAAAAATTAAATATAGGAATCATTTAAAAATAACAAAAATATATAAAAATTTAAGAAAAATATAGAAAATTCGGATTAGCCAATATCCATTTTAGTTATATTATTTATGTCAATTTGGTAATATCATCTTATAGCCCCTATATGGTAATATCTCTTTATGCAAAAAAGAAAAACATTTAATCTTTTGAAATAGAAGTAGGCAATGCATGATTGGCAACAGTAATTTTTCATTCTTAATGTCCAGGGAAAAGGTAATGACCTTGACCTGACCTTGCCTCTAATATAAAACGGTCAAATTTAATCTAACTGATATCATCACTTAGTGATATTGTCTTCTTAATTCTATGAAAATTTCATTGATTTTTAAATACTAGAAATATGAGAAGAATCCCCCTTAAGCTCTTGATGTTTTTGATGTAAATATATGTATGATGTATATAGTCTTCATATTTGGATGGTAATTAAACCCCTGCAAACAAAGTCATGGTGGTGGTGGTGGTGTTGGATGCAGGATATATAGGAATCAACTTGTCTGTCCAGGAATTGTGCCCAGACTATATTTATACCCCCGTAAACAAAGTTGGCTGGGGTATACTTGAATCAGAATGTCTGTAGACATGATTTTGTTCAGACATGTTCCTAGAGACTACTGCATTTTCTGAAAATTTGTACACTTCTTATTCACCATTTGAAGACCTGGTATTTTTCATCATGATTGGACAAATTTTCTTCATTTTTCATTTCTATGGACTTGGTCAGTTTTATGTCCCACCATGAATATGGCCTAGGCATACGAGGGGTGATCAAAAAGTTCGCGAACTAATTGAATAACTTCCTTAAAAGACATAAAATGAGGTTTCATTGTTTATTATTTTTTAAAGTATTCCTCTCCGATTTTAATGCACATCTGCAATTGTTCTGCCCATGCGCGAATCACGTGATCCAGGCAGTCACAAGACATGCTCCGTAGCAGTCTGTTCAAAGAAGCTAAAGGATTTTTCTGAGTCTTATATTTCTTACCATGCAAGTTATTTTTTATAACAAGAACAGTCCATTTGTCATAAATGGCCAAACCTCGGCAATAGGATGGGTGGATAAGGATATCCCTTCCCACAATTAGTATGGTGACCCATCACAACCCAAGTTCTCTGTCTCGGGAGCGTCGTTTATCCAATGTGGATGAAGTATGGGCACATTCTTTTTATCATATCTCATATGTTTAAAGTCTAAAGTTAACGATATTTTAGGAATTTAATGATTATAGTATTGTTAAGATATTCAACCATTTTTCTAATTGTAACTTGACGATGTTTCATAACAATTGCTCAGCTAAGGACACATCTTTTCCCCGGCTTGCTTTCGCTGGGCAACATAACAAACATCATTTTTAACCATCTCCCTGCCTTCACTAAAACAATCCATCCAATTAATGATTGAACGTCTGGTAAGTATTTTATCTTCATAAACCTTGTACAAATTATCATCTTCTATTGCAAAAGAATTTCCAAGATATACGTTAAACTTTACAGCCGTTCGTTGCTCGAGTACGACTGAGTCAACCATTTTTTGTCACAAGTGACCTACATATTGACGTCATTTTCACATTGTGACGTCACAAACACGGAGCAAAACATTATTTAACATCTGTTATTTATAGTATATGTGTATGACTATATGTGCCATATTTCATTCTGATCTGAATTGTGGTTTTGTAAATACAGAGATAGTTCGCGAACTTTTTGATCACCCCTCGTACATAGAGTTTGTCATGTCCGTCTTCTGTCCTTCTGTTCTTTCGTCTGTCCTTTCATCATGCTCAGTTCATGGCACAGTTTCATGCTGTACATATTGATGAGAGCTATCCCACTGCATCAACACTTTTTTGACCGTGACCTTTCCTTTGACCTTGACCTCACTTTTTAAATTTTTCAAGTTTAAAGAAACATTCAAGATAGTGTTATCGAACTTCATATGCTGATACATACTGAAGTAATCTATTCAACTGCATCAACATTTTTTGACCTTGACCTTTCCTTTGATCTTGACCTCACTTTTCTTTAATTAGTGTTTAGCTCAGTTTAAAAAAACCATTAATGATATTTTATGAAACTTCATATGCTTATGCATACTGATGTAAGATTTTCAACTGCATCAACATTTTTTAACCTTTCCTTTTACCTTGACCACACTTTTCTTAAATTAGTGTTTAGCTCAGTTTTAAATAAACCGTTCAAGAGTTGCCCGCGTGGCGCAGTGGTTAGAGCGTCTGCTCTAGAGTCGCGGAGTAAGGAGTTGATCCTTACGTCGCGGGTTCGATTCCCACTGTGGGACGTGGAGACCGGTCCTTCGGATGAGACCCTATAAACCGAGGTCCCGTGTCGCAGTAGGTGCTGGCACGAAAAAGATCCCTCACTGCTCAATGGCCGTAAGTGCCGAGTATAGGACAAAATTTGCAGCTCTCCACCGGCAAGTGGTGGCGTCTCCATATGAGTGAAAAATTCTCGAGTGGGACGTTAAACAACATACAAACAAACAAAAAACCGTTCAAGATATTTTTTTATCAAACTTCATATGCTGATATGTTTTAGTGAGAGCTATTCAACTGCATCAAAAACATCTGACCTTGAACTTTCCTGGGACTTTGACCTCACTTTTCTTAAATTTGCATTTTGCTTGGTTTTAAAGAAACCATTTAAGATATTTTTATGTAAGCTTATGCACTTGTACATAATTTGGTGAGAATTTATCATCTGTATCGGTGAGAATTTATCATCTATATCCATTTTTTAAGATTTCAATTTCAATTTTAATGAAACTATTCAAGATATTCTAATCAAACTTCATACACTAATACAAATTTTCACATTGCATTACTAATATACCCTCGGCAGGGCATTCATGTCCTAGGGGCATATTCTATTTTTTTTTAAATATTTGATAAGCAGATGATATAAACAAAAAAAAATTATGCCTGGATTGATAAATATTTTTGGACCTAATACGGTTCCAAATGATCCAAATATCAAATTTCTAAAATAAAAAAGAAATTGATAATTTTCTTTTAAGTTTAAAATTCTATCTTTCTTGCTGTCACGCTTTTAAATTTTTATCCCTTCTAAGGACATTATTTTGAAATTTTGAATAAAAACTATGAAAAAAAAATGTGTGGCTAGCTAAACTTATTCATTTTACATATTTAAACATGGCTTTAGTTGTATGTCCATGATTTTTGAAGAAAGTTTGTTTGTAGCATAATTTATGTCCTTAAACACAATAAGTCTTACATGTAGAATCATCAAACCCTGTCAGCTGGTGTATCATGGGAAGAAGGTGTGTTGCTGTAACATGGCCAAATATGATAAAACCCTGTCCAACTCATAAATGGAAAATTATTTGGCCTAGAATCAACAACCTAGGTTAGTAAATGCATCTTTGGTAGAAGGTGAGTTGCATCCTACCTTGAGGTCACTGTTACCTTTTATTAAAGTATTGGCCAAATATGTGTAAACCCGTTTTTGGACTCATGTAGACTTGAAATCTAGAAATCAGGAAACTTTGTCACTTGGTGCATCTGTAGAGAAATGTGAATTGCAGCTCAAAACCAGGTCATTAAAACTTCTTTAGAAAAATAACCATAAACAAGATGTGTTTGTGAAACACTGATGCCCCCGTATGGCAGCTTATGGCGAAGGTTAAAGTTTCTCAAATGCAAGTCAAAATCCAGACCAAAAGATAAAAAAAATGTTGGTACCCAAAGAAAGGTCTTGTTTCGAGGAATATACCTGTGAAATTTGAAAGACCTAGCTGCAACTGTTCAAAAGTTAGGGCGAAGGTTAAAGTTTTTTAAAAGTAAGTAAAATGTCAAGGTCAAAGTGGTTGGTATCCAAAGGAAGGTCTTGTCACAAGGATAACATATGTGAAGTATGAAAGCCTTAGCACCAACCATTCAAACGTTATGGCCAAGGTTAAAGTTTTTCAAAAGTAAGTCAAACTCCTATGTCAAGGTCAAAGGGTCAAAGTGGTTGGTATCCAAAGGAAGGTTATGTCACAAGCATTACATAAGTGAAGTATGAAATCCCTAGCATCAACCATTCAAAAGTTATGACCAAGGTAAAAGTTTTTCAAAAGTAGGTCAAACTCCTAGGTCAAGGTCAAAAGGTCAAAATGGTTGGTATCCAAAGGAAGGTCTTGTCACAAGGATTACATATGTGAAGTATGAAAGCCCTAGCTCCAATCGTTCAAAAGTTATGGCTAAGGTTAAAGTTTTTCAAAAGTAGGTCAAACTCCAAGGTCAAGGTCAAAGGGTCATAGTGGTTGGTATCCAAAAGAAGGCCTTGTCACAAAGAATATACATGTGAAGTTTGAAACACCAAGCACCAACTGTTCAGAAGTTATGGCCGAGGTTAAAGTCTCATAAAATTTTGCAAAAGTGGGTCAAACTCCAAGGTCAAGGTCAAAAGGTCAAATATGATGGTACCCAAAGAAAGGTCTTGTCACAAGGAATACACATGTGAAATATGAAAGTCATAGCTCCAACCAATCAAAAGTAATGGGCAAGGTTAAAGTTGACAACAGACAGACAGACAAACGGACAAACAGACAGACAGGACAAAAACAATATATCCCCGGGATCTTTCGATCCCGGGGCATAAAAAGAACGAAGGTAATCCCTAAAAATGTGAGATGAAATATGGAGATAACGAACAGCCTGGACTTTAATTTATCGTTGGGAATGGTTGTATAAAGTGTTGAAAAGCCGTACGAGTAATGCAGTAACTGTTGCATCAAGATATTCAATTCAATTCAGTTTGTTTATTTACCAATTAAGGGCCCTCATGGGGCAAAGAGAAAGTACATTGTAAATTAACATTTATATATATAGTCATATACATGTAATACAATTTATTACATTTTCAACAGTGAAATACTGTGATTTATTAATTGAATAAAAGTGATATTCTCTCACAGTGTGAAAGGATACCAAAAATGATATTCTCTCACAGTGTGAAAGGATATCAAAGTAAGTAAAAATAATTTCTGGCCTGTCATAAGATAGAGATCGTGACTAAGCATCTTGATAGAGCTAAAACTGTAAATTTCTTCCCAAAAATGTTGCTAAAATCCATGCTATTTAATGTTTTCAATCACACAACTTCTAAGCTATGACGTTTCAACCGCTCAACTATGACGTCATGCCTATGACACTGTGTTAAGAAAAGACAGAGGCAAAGGGAAAATCAAAGAAAATGTAATAAACAGAAAATTCAATGTTTTGTAGATGAATATGGAATTTATTTCACTCGTGAGACAGGATTTTTTTATATTTTCACTCGTGCTTCGCACTCGTGAAAATATCAAAAAATCCTGTCCCACTCGTGAAATAAATTCCATATTCATCTACAAAACATTGAATATCCTCTATATACATACACACAAGAGAGAAAGAGTTGCATGATTGATAAGAGAAAGACATAAAAAAGGAATAAACTAGATAATTTGTTTATAGATAGGAATACACATATTGCTTTATAACGAATAAAAAAAATCTTGGTTTTTCTCAAAAATGACATATATATACTACATACTATGAAAAAGCAGATTTAAGAGTGCATTACACGACAGATAGTGTAAATCCATTGTCTCTTGGAAGTAACGATAAGAGCCAGATTACTTCTGTCCAGTTAACATGGTTAAAGATTACTTAAAGAGTTCATTGTAAGAAGGCTGTCTTAATCATTTTTTTAGGAGCATCTCTGATCAAGCACTGCAGGTATCCAAACAAAGTATAACTTTGGAATTAGGAGGAAGAATTAAATATCTGGTCTCTTAATTGCAATTGATAGCAGCAATCAAATTAAAATATATAGTTCTTGATGGCCAGCCTTTTTGTTTTCAAAACTAATTTGGTATAAATTAATCAAAATCAATTTGTTATTGTATATTATTTAATATAATAGTTTTATCTTATTTTTTTTTAATATCTCGGCTTTTCTTTTTAAAAAAAAGAAGAAGAAAAAAAACAGCAGATGGTATTTGTCCACTCTGGACAGTTCTAGTTTGTAATGGATAAATCTTTACACAAAGTCTTCTTAGGACATAGGGGTATGCTGTACTTATCGTATACTATTAGTATAAGACCACTTGCAGAATAATTGAATAATTCGTGTTTGGTCCATTACTTTATAATGGAGAAACAGTGAATCAAACATGTATCATGGGCACTAGCGAACCTTTGTAAAGATTCTAATCGGGATCACGATGCAAATTGATACTACGAAGGCGGAAGTTTATGTCTGCAAAGCCAAGTAATCATGAGAAGATGACAGGTCGATTGACGCAATTTCTGACTGTGATATAGGATGGGAAACTGCATAGCGAGATGCTTTGGCATCTCAAGTAAAAGGTGGTGATTTATAGATTCCATGTTTTCGATTAACAATGCGAGAAATGATTATGCAACTCATTTAATCAATATTCATTCGCCAAGTTGTTTTTAATGAAATTACCGAATTTCCTCTATCAATTTATTTCAACCTTTGCTATTTTGTCAAAGCAATATGCATTTTGATAGACAGATAGATCTTTAACGGAACCCGTTACTAGTTTCACTATCCACGAAACAGCATATTTTTGATTTAGTAACAATTTGTATGTGTAATTAATTATAAGACAAGTAGGCAGTAACTATGTCATGAAATCGATGATTGTTTGAATCAAGTATTACTTCTATAAATCGTCTCATATGTAAAAAAAAAAAAAAAAAAAAAGCGTATGCTGCAATATGTTAGATGTTGAAACTCTTAAGGAAACTACATACTGTGCAGCCAGCTTTGTTAATCTGACACTACCAAAAAAAAAATAGTGTTTAAACTAAACACTTGCCCATTTGACATTTACTGGCATAAACTTTCATGGTCACACAGAAGTAGCATCTCTTCAGTATCTTTGCTGGTAGTTGTATTATCATACCGACATTATTCTTAAAACTAAGCTGACAGTGCCAGGAAACATATACACATTTTACAATGAATGGGATTGTTGGAGAAAATCAAGTGTGTCAAATTGCCATCTGAATACATAATGAATTCCCTGTAATTACAAAAGCAGAAATCTATTTAAGTAGAAATGGGAAACATGATAGTCCTTGTTTAATGAAGATAGTCTTGTTTAGTTGCTACATTACTGCACTTGCAATCCCTTGAAACAATGTCAGGGGTCCTATCTCCTAAGTCCACCCCTTGCTGTTGCAGTGAGTAGAATTGGACACAGGACATTTGATATTGTGAGGATGTGTCTCTAAATAAACATTTATTGAAAACAACCTGTATATGATAAAGCAATTATTCTCTCTTAAATATCTTATTTCTCAAAAATATGTTGGTTGTTGGCTAATAAGTTCTTCTATAGTCTTCCATATGCATGTATGTAATGTCAGGAACCAATATTAATTAATAATGAACTTTAAATTCTACACTTGACATAATGCCAAGACAGTGATGTTGCAAATCCTGTTAACATTTTGTGGGTTGCATTTTCATAAGAAAAGCGATGTATTTCATAAGATTTTACCTACCCAGTGTACATTACAGGAGTTTTCTATTGAATTTCCCAACAAATTCTGTAGCTCAGAGGCTAATATTTTCACTTTTGTCACATCATAGGAAAAATCACACAGAATCAATTCTATCAGTGAACAGATCCTCATTATCTTTGTTCTATTTCTTGGGTCAAAGAGCAATTTTTGTTTATGCATATCTCACACAAAGCAGTTAAGCTGAATTTACAGTCAGACTGAAATGATTTTTTCTTGTGGTTTTGCATTTGTCAAAATTTTAAAACATTGGACCAAGCAAGAGAAAAACAAACAATAAAAAACAATAACAATAAAAAGTTTTAATGGGATATGCTCCAATGCTTAATGTAGTTGTAACTCAATATGATAAGTAGTTTATACTTAAATTTGCATAATTTGAAATATTCATAGTAATGGTATACAAAATTTCAAAAAGTCATATAATTTCAAGACATAATTTGCAGGTAAACATTCTTAAAAGACCAAAAATTATTGTTTTGTAAGAACTGATATGGTTTTTTTTTCATTTCTAGAGTTATAGAAGCTACTCTCACACTGACATGAAATATATTTATGAACAAGACATTTTAGTTTTAATGTAAACAAAATATATATTTAATGTCTTTAGTATTTATGTAAATTATCTATTTATCAAACTTCAAATAATGTAATTTTATTTTATAGGAGAAAGTACCTGCGAACTAGATACAGTGTGGAAAGAGATATTTCAGTTGAGGTATGAATTATGATCATGGAAAAGTTTTTCAAAAGCTATTTTCCGATAGACATATGCACTTACATGTTAATAAAAAAAATTAAGGACATACGCAACATAGTTTTTGAACATTATTGTCTTTTTCCCTGGAGTTGAAGAGTTCCAATACTTGAAGGACCAGTGTGCTACTCTTTTAATGTCTATATCTAGTATGCTGCTGTACACTTCTTCTAAAACAAATTTGGATGAAAAAACATGTAAAATATTTGTTTAGTAATTTTTGTATATTTTTCTTTGAATAATACAAGAGTTTTCATCATTTGATATCTATTCAAAACACCTGGTAATGCATGCTGATTTTTTTTGTCTGCAAACATCTAATGATACTTTCATTTTAAATTAATAAGAATATTGTGAAAAATTATCAGTAGGTAAGGTACATGTATGTTGCTTATGTTCTTAAATGAAAAAAATAGAAAAGAATTTGAATTATCATTGCAGCCCAAATGTTCTATACTGCTGTTTTAATGTCTGGTTTTTGTTTGAATCGACTTTTAAAAGGTCAGGCATAGAGGTACATGTACATGTAACGATATTTACAGTCATACTAAGTGGTGAAGTGGTCAGAACATTTTGCTTTAGAATTGCAGAGTAAGGAGTTGATACTTTGTAACATAATATATTTTTGAGATATTCTCAATTTCTAAGTAAATTATAAGTTTCATTCTTATTATATTTTAATTTTTGAATTTGAAAAACTACTGCAACCAAAGGTAATTAAATGTAGTCTTTCTCCTTGAAAATGTTTATTTTGCAGTTTTGTTGATAACTTGAATATGCATGCAGTAGACTGACTTTTAAAAAAAATTCTACGAGTCATTTAAATGCAGCCAAAAAGAAATATTTTAGTTTCGGTCTTTCCTACATATTAATAAACTTTGTAATTTTATTGCCCCCTCCCCCTTCTTTTTCACGTAAAACAACATTTTATGTTAAATAAAATGAAGAATGGAGAGAAAATTCATAATGTAAATTACACAATGTAAGGAGTATTTAATTTTAAGAAACATATACAATACAACAATCATTGATATTATGTAAACCTCTGCGACTTATAAAGTATCTTACTAGATATAATTTTAAGTCCTACTTTTGTGTTTTGATATGCCCCCTTTTTCACTACAATAAAGGCTACTCCCATTTTCCTTTTCATTTTTATACGCCCGTCTTAAGACGGGACGTATTATGTTATAGCCTTCATGTCCGTCCGTTCGTCTGTTAGCTTTTTCGTGTCCAGCTCATAACTTTAATACTATTAGGCCTAGAACTATCAAACTTTGTCAGCTGATACGTCTTGGGTAGAAGGTGTGTCGCACATTAAAAGTAGGTCACTCTGACCTTTAATTAAGATGCTATGGCCAAATATGGAAAAATCCTGTCTGGCTCATAGCTAGAAAACTATTAGACTTAGAATCATCAAACTTGGCCAATTTATGCATCTTAGGTAGAAGGTGTGTCGCAACCTATTTCAAGGTCACTGTGACCTTTCATTTAATGATTTTTTTTTTTTTAAAACTGTGTCTTTAAACTATTAAATTACACAATCCTCAAAAATGTAAGAATGTTGCAGTATCCTTATTAAAAAAATGTTAAATCAAGAAAATAATTTTTTTCATTATATACTTTACAGCAATCTATAACAAATGTAATGTTATAAGAGAAATTCCAACTCTCCCCTGGGTGTAATCATCAAGCACTGGTCAATGAGAATTTTGATAACAGAAAATTGCATGTCAAATTAGAGAGAAATTAATGAGTGTAGTGTGAGAAACTAACTGGTAGAGCATCTCTGATCAAGCAGGTGTTATCTATATCTCCTGGTAATTGGGCAAAGGAATCAGCGTTGGATTAAATGAATCTAGTTAGTTGGCTAGCCTTTTAACTTTTAAAATGAATTTGGTGAAGAGTAATTAAAACTAACTTGATATTGTATAATAAACTAATTTGATATTGTATAATATACCCGGGGGGGGGGGGGGGGGGGGGATATTGGAATCAGCATGTCAGGTTGTCTGTCAATATGAACTGCAGCTTAAAACCAGTCTGACATTAAATCTCAAAGAAATCATCAAGTATTTTTAAAAAAAAATGATTTATGGTAGATAGTTCCTACAAATCTAAGAGTCATGCAGTAACCTTATTAAAAAAATTGCATGAAGTTTACACAAGTTTTTGTTTCTTTTTATAAATCTTTGTATCAAGTTAAAAAAAAATCTCTGTTTTCAACGGAATGACATAAATATGCATTTTTATTACAATACAGACTATTAAAGCAGACAGTGCAGATCCATTCATCCCTTGGGAGTAATGAATGGACATGCATCCAGTTAAAGATTATAATTAATGAGTTCAATGTATAGGAAGGCTAGCTGTCTCAATCATTTCTGTTAGAGCATCTCTGATCAAGCAGCTCTTATCTGTATCCTTTGGGAATTAGACAGAAAAACTGCTTGTCAGTTTATAGCATATGTCATTTGATGGCCAACCTTTTTATTTTCAAAATTAATTTGGTATAGATTAAATTGTTAAGACTATTTTGATATTGTTTAATATGAAAATTTTATTTAATTTTTTGAAAATATCAAATAAATTTGAAAGAAAGGGGAGGGAGGGGGCTGCAGATGGGCATTTGTCAAGGTCTAACACAAACAGTTGAGAAATTTATTATAATTAGTGCCTGCACTACAGGAAATGTATATATAAACATCAGATATTATAAGGAATGAAAAATCATGGAAGTCTTTGAATTAAGGTTGACATGATTTTTTTGCACCCTACACTGTTTATGATAATTGAACAATATTTGATGGGCGTATCATGCTGTGGCGGGGCACTTTATTTTAAATGAGGAATGGATATTGCATTATATGTGTGGAAAAAAAAATCACCATTTATTTTTATTTTAATTTGTCAATTCCATTGTTTATTAGGTAAGTTTTAGCATATGATTGTGTGTAAAACCACAATAAATGGTCCATATTTTAAAATTGCCCCCATTCCACTACAATCAAGGTAAGGTAACGAAATTTTAATCAAATTTTTGAAAGCGTGATACAAAAAAATATATATCTAAAATTCCAAAATATTTGCCAGTCCATTTTCAAAATTTCCAACTAGATTGGGTCTCATTAAAAAATAAAACCTTTGTTTACAATGAAATGACAAATGACATGCATTTTCTTTTGTACTACAGACTCAAAGTGCATTACACAGCAGATAATGTAAATTCATTTGTCCTGTGGGAGTAATGAGTGGACATACATCCAGTTAAAGAATAATAAATAAGTTCAATGCGGGAAGCTGTTAGAGCATATCTGATCTAGCAGGTGATATCTATATCTCAGGGGAATTGGGCAAAAGAATTAAAGATATCTGTTCTCTAACTCTCTTAATTGAAATATATAGTCTGTCAAATTAAAATACATAGTTACTGGGTGACCAGCCTTTTATTTTTAAAATGAATTTGGTATAAAGTTATCTTTCCTCATAACATCAGGGGTCCTGCGTCAACATGTTGCCGTTGGACCCCAGACAAATTTCATTTGATATCTTTGGGCTTGCTTCTCTAAATGAGAAGCACCAATCAAATTGAAGTAGACAGATAATATAAACAAAAAAGGAATCAGTGACACCTAAAGTGCACGTGTTATGCATTGTTTATCACCAAAAGGCTTAATTTAAATGGTTGAGAGATAAGAAAAACAATCAAGATTTGTAATTTCTCCAAAAGACATCACTGCAGTCAGCCAGCAAGATATCAAATGAAATTTGTCAGGGGTCCAACAGCAACATGTTGACTCAGGACCCCTGTCCTTGTGAGCATGAAAGTTTTCAAGATTAATTTGATGTTGTAAAATATTATATATTTATTTTTGTTTTCAACAAACAAATTGCAGTGTTATAATGTCTCACAAAGATGACAGATAGTTGCAATTTATTTTTCAATCTAATAAAAACAATATAATTATTAGTACCAGTATTGATGTTTTATTAGGCTGCACCTTAGTTCATCATTCATTAAAAAAATATAATGAGCAATTAAATTTTCAAAGAAATTGTGAACACATCTTTAGTTAGATCCATAAAATATGTTTAGTGATTTAGCACCTTTTCTGAAAAAAAAACCCAACAGGGAGTATTTGTCCATTTTGGACAGTTCTAGTTGACTTTTGATGAGGTCTACTTGTGACAATATGGACCTATTCAGGTGTTGGTTGACAGATGCTAAAGGTTGAAGTTAACCAATACCTGATCAGGTCCCTATTATGGTATAGTCATGAGTAGACCAAATTTAAAAGTCAATAACCATTTCATTAAATATCCAGATTTTTCAAACATTTTCCACACTGTAGTTTTTATCTCTAACAAATATAAACACTAATACTAAAATATGTTGTGTAGCAACATATCATGATTATATTTCAACAGTTTAACAAGTGTTTAAGAAAGTGGAAAACAATATAAGAAACAATGCATGTAAATACTCAACAATTTACTAATGAAAGTGTTTAGTCTCTTTGATACTGCCCTGGCATCTGCCATTATGTAAACAATGACACATGCTTTTAAACACTCAATTTTATTGATCAGTAAAAATGTAAGCAAGTCTATGGTTGGTCAAGAGGGAAAATCCAAATAAACATCTTGGAAATTCACTTTGAGGTGATCTCACTCTGAAGTACACCATAGGAAAGAGAGTCTGGACCAATCATAGCTATAGAGCATCAAAATTCCAAATCATTTAATAAATTTAATTGTAAAAGGCAAAGATAATGAACGGTGATCAATCGCATAAATAGAGTGAATAAAATGAATCATCAACAGGGCAAAAATCATGGACCCCTGGAAACACCAGAGGTGGGATTTGGTGCCTAGGAGGAGTAAGCATCCCCTGTTGACTGGTAGAGTACTCCGTAGTCAAACTTGGTTTAAAAGCAGTGACCTAACAATGTTATGAAAGA